TATTGATTTACATAATTCGTATTACACTACTAGATAAATAAATACTAATAACTAAATATACTAAATATACTAAAATATACTAAAATAACTATACTAATAAAATAAATACAAATAAGAATAAAATAAATTAAAATAATAAGAAATTATGAAAGTGGAGAAAACCCATGGTAACAGTGTCTTTGATATTAGCTCTGTTATTATTTTTTATTAAAGATAATTATAAAGTAACTAATGATTCTAACAAAGCCAATAATTTTATTTTAGAAACTGGTAAAGTTGATGAAACCTATTCTTATACCAAGAGTTAAGAATATGTGTAAAAGGTTTGTATCAAATTTTTCTGGTTATAATAATTATAATAGATTACCTGAGAAATTAATTCATAACGGATCTTGGAAAGAATCAGAAGAAAAAATTTCATGTGTTGTGAGCGAAATTCTTGATACTTTAGAAAATATTTGAAACAATTTAGCCCTTACTTCTGAGATAACAAAAACATTAAATGAAGGGACTTATTAATCTACAGTTATTGTACTAACTATACGAGCAGTTTTAAAAAATCTTTCTCTTGGGCCATTATCATTTATAAGCACATCAGAAAGGCAAAGTATTGCAAGTGCAGATAGAAGAGAAACCGGAAGGCATCCAGATATAATGTTTATAATAAAGTATTTGGACATATTTTTTGAACTTATGTATATCGAATACTCTTGATTGTTGTGTACAGAGCAAAAAAAAGTAGATGATGATATTAAACTATGGAGGGAGTGTAATGATGGAATGTACTATACTCGAAAGACTCTTAATCTGGATAAAGACCAATTCAGAATAATTGGAATACAAATAGCAGGAGATACTTTACATCTGAATGTTCTTATCAGGGATAAAATTAATGTTCATAGATATTACCATATACAATCGGCAAAAATTCATGTTCAATTTTCAGATGAGGATGATGTAATTAAATTTGTTGAGACACTTTTACTATTGCGAAATATATTAATTATAAATATATCCCTGCTATGCCATGGTTCAATATTCAAATCTCAAAGACAAATGGAAGAGAGTACCACAGTTTCTACACCTATGCGAGATGATAAAGATAATTAGTTTTTTCTTTGTATATCATATATTTTTATATGTATTTTTATCCTGTATTTTTATCCTATATTTTTATTGTATATTTTATTAATAAAGATTTTTGATTAGAGGAACGTACAACATATCATGTGTTATTTTCGTGTAATGTATAACAGTAATTTTTCCAAAATAATTTTCTTGACAAAAGTGATCGGCGTTACAAATTGTAATGCGCACGTGATTTTATTTATAGTGAAGATCCCAATAATTTTTGAATTATGAAAATTCATATATAGTTAATCCCGAGAATTTGTAAACTTTATCAGGTATTTAATGTGGACCTAACATATGACAAATGGCATAAGTAGATATAAATTGCAAAATAGTGGTTACAATGAATTATTTTATTGATAACCCAGATTTGCACTATTTCTTGTTTCCGTTTGCTTTAGATTTTTTCTTTTATTTTTTTCAGGAGTTTCTTGCGTAGCCATATCATTTGGACTCCATTGAGGAGTGACTGAACCAGTTTCCACATCATTTATCAGCTTCTCTAATAAATCATTTAACAGTCCCTACAAACCGATCATGAAAATTATTATTAAACTACTTAATGAGAACTGCAACCGTAAATATTTGTAATACAAACCTGAATATTCCAGGCCCAAATCAAACTAATACGTAAAATATGATAAGTTGAAAATGTCAAAGGAAAATCCAACGTTTTGATAAAATGAAGACGATAAACTTCACGTCTTTCCATTAAATAAATGCGAATTTCTGACTTGTATTGCTATTGAAAGTAAAATTTATTGAATATGATTTTTGTTACTGAATTCTTTACAGTTTGAAGTACTAAATTTACTCGCTTGTATCTCTATTGTATACAAACGCGTTTTATCTTTTTTGACCTTATTATAATATTTCATACACATATCATCGAGGGCATCTTTTAGCAACCGCTGTAAATGAAATTAATCTGAAGCTAATTTTGTAAAATCAACTTTGTATGGGCCACCACAGGTCAATAAACATAACATCTCATATGAATCAGTAGAGCATAACATATCTGCCATATGGCCACAATTCACCTTTTCTTCTAAAATATCTCTGTTTTGATTACGTCTTTGCAAAGAAGCTTGCACTGTAATTTTCCCCCTATCATAGTAAAACAGTAATTAAAAAAGTTATTATCTTTACGACAATTATAAATACATATTACAACTTAATTATGATAACAAACCATGCTACTCGAAAATGACCATCAAGTGTCAAAGCACCTTGAAAAATTGGAATCAGGTAACTTCCCAACCATTCCCTTTCGTGACAATCTTGTTGCATTAACAGATTTCGTTCAGACTCAAATGCATCAAGACTATATAAAAAGATAATATTATTTTATAAACTATATAACACCTCAAGAGAATAGGGATACAAAGTCATTATAACCTACAATCGACCTATAGCCCATTCTATCCACCATATAATTTTTTCCCAATCACCTTTATCATATGATAATTCTCCCCCATATTCAGGAGCTTTAACATTTCTTAAACTTTTCTACTGAGTACGAGCTTGTCGAATATTTAACCTCTACCAGTTAAAATAAAAATATCCTTTGAGAGTTTGACATATCAATAAAGACTCATGTAAGAAGTTATAAAAGTGACACTATACTTTTTGTTTTCCAAACAAATGATCAAGTATTGGTTCTAATTCTCTATGATAAGTCTCATTAATTACATCAGGACGATCGGCAATGAATCTGGACCAATGTTCTGGTACGAATTCTTTCACAATTTTTGAAGTTGAGGAGAGATCAAGAATATAGCTATGTGCAGGACTAAATTGGAATATTAGCATAAATATTATGTTAGTGGATCAAGCAAAAAGCTTTTTGTTTAGATAAACTTACTCAAACTTAGATATCGAATCTTTTCCACAATACTCTCGCATAACAGAAGACAAAAGTGGTGAAACACTTTTTGAATCTTTTTCACCGGAAATCAAAGGTAGTAGAGATCTTTTTGAAACATTCGGAATAATCCTTCGGTTCATTAAGTTTCTCTTTACCATTTCACAAGGGAACTTGTCGCCATCACTTTCAGTCAAGTCACTTTCACAAGGGGTCTTGTCACCATCACTTTCAGCCAAGTCGCTTAACCCAGAATCTTGTTTTATCCCTAAGTCATCTTGCATTTTCAGAATTTCATTTTATATATTCATGTTAACAATCATGAATTTAACGTACCATCAAATTCATCAAATTTATCATCATTGACTATATCTGTATCAGGCTGGATGTAAAAAAAGAGATGAGCTCAAGCTATTAAGCCTAAATATAAAAAATGAATTTGATGTCAAACTTACACTGTTAGAATTGGATTCCATATCATTTTCAATCAGTGGAGCTTTTCCAACACATGTACCTTTTTTGTCTTTCTTGACTTTCCGCTAAATTTAATATAATTTAATATAAGTACTTTCTAATATTTCTAACTAAAAAATATAGGGAAATATACCATTTTATTCCTTGCAAACTCTGAATCTGTTTCTGATTCTAATGTCGAGTTCAAATCTTCAACATAATTTATTGGTTTTCGTTTTCTAAGTTCCATTGTTGACAAAGGTGAATCAAACTCCTCCGTTCGGCTTGACGTAGTCCCCACTATTTCATGAATATTTCCATTATTTTTTATTTTCATGTACGAGGGGTGATTGATATGCACATGCTTATGCGAACGATTTTTTTGCTACATCTTTGCTACCTTATGATCAGGTCGTGAACTCTTGAGTAAAGAAATTGAAAAAATTTATATAATTAGCACTATTCTCAAACAAATCTGATTTTCATCCTATCCAAATATCAGCCAAACTTAAAGATTGCCTGTGCCGGATGGGTCTAGTGTCAGGTCAACTTAAAGACTTGAACATTTGGCAAACTTAAAGATTGCCAGTGCCCTAACACTAGTTTAGTAGCTTGACTTAAAGATTTAAATAACAAGAAACTTAAAGATTCATGCCACGCCACTTAATCGTATTTATAAAAAAAAAGTATTTTCTTGCCTTCTTGTATTTATTTAGGAGAGAACGTGCCTTGTCCGATCTTTTTCCTTGTTCAGAGTTGTTAATGTTCTTGAGATTTTTTAGATATAAACCGATCTTTAATTGAAATGATTCTTCGACACTTTCTTCTAAGAAATTTTTAATGTCCCATTCGGTATAACTTCGTCTAAAGTATTTGTACATATAGTTTCTGTTGTCAGGCGTAAAAGAGTACACGTAAAAAAGATCAAATGTGCAACCGATTACGTATTGTGGCACAAATGGATAGTATCAACTGATCAACTGCAAGGAATTTTAACGGTTGTCTTGCTACAGAGAATACATTTCACGAGAAAAGTTTTCTCAGTTGTAGTCCTATCAAAGATTTCTTTAAAACGAGACCAAAAATAGTTAAGGTAATGTTCGTGTATTGGATTCAGCCGATCCTGCAATCAGAAATAATGATTAATAATTTTATTTTCCAAACATGCAATTAAGATGAATAATTTGTTGTGATAATGTATTTCAACGAATCAGCTTCTGGGCTTGCAGACTAATGACTATTCTTTCGTACAGATTTCCGAGAAATTTATTAGAATCGCAGAAGGCAGGCAACATAAACTTTCAGCGAGTTTTGTCTTTTTTCTCTCAGAACTGAAAAAGGTAAATTAGTTTAACGGACAATCGATTACGTGAGATTGTTTACACTGTACGTTTTCGTTGGTCATCTTTATTTTATTCAGAAAACATATGAAGCCGGATTATAGATAGTATACAAATAGTTTAGACAAACGAAAATTTATATTGTAGTCAATAAATAGATAGGTTTCTTATTACAATCAAAAAAACAAAGGCGTGTTAATGCGATTATTAACAATATTTTTTCGTGTGATTAACCTTTTGAATATATCCTATTTTGTAATAAAACAATGTCAAACGATCAACTCACAATCGATACCTTGAGAGAATTGAATTCCAAGCTTGTTCTTCAGATTGATGAACTTAGAAAGGAGAATGCTGAAGTCGAAGCCGAGAACACAAAATTGAAACAGGCTATAGAAGAAAATGCAGTGTTCAAGATCCGATTCGAAGAGCTAGAAAAGAAAAATAAAACAGATACTGCTAAGCTCACTGTTGAGAATGCAGAACTTAAAGAAAGAGTCACGAAATTGGAACAGAAGCAAACTCGAGTCATCACTAATGAGCAAGATGCATCTTCTACAAAAGATATTTTTCAGTCTTCGGCTTGTCCAGAATTATCAGTAAGTACCCAGGTATCAAGTACTATTTCTTTCGAAATAAAAGATGAACCTAAAGGATTATTGTCTATTCCGTCACCTAATGAGGGCCATTCTGGAGAGGAGAAAATCATCACTCCTGATTGTTTACCCGAACAAGAAAATAAATTGACAATATCTGAATCTCTAGCAGAATCTGAAAAATTCGTAACCTCTTTATCACAAGACATTATTAATGACGATTCAGCCGAGATTCTCGAATTTGTAAAAACAATACATAGAGAAAAGATTAGTAATGAAATAAGGGAAAGAAACAGGAAAAAGAAACTTCAAGGTCAGGAACTAATACAAAACACTTCTTCTTCTTCTGATATACAAAATAAGGTAAATCCTGTTATCGGCAAAGCCAGCATGGCTGAAATTACCCATGATCATAAAACCATCCAATTAGAACCAATGCCTACTGATCAAATACAAGGTACCATTTCTTCTGAAATAAAAATTCCATATAATAAAAGAGTAGAACAAGACTTAAGACACAAGTTATCTATGTATATTAAAGGAAATAATAATAAAATTAGTGATGTATTTGATATACAAATTTCTGAATTCTCGTTAGAAGTAATTATAACGGAATCTAACAAAATTACAACACAAAATATAGCTGATTTATTTATGATAGTAATGAAAGTTAGACAAAAGGAAATTTTATGTTGGTATTGCTATTATAAAATATATGAGGATCAAATCAAAGATGTTAAACATACAAATCAAATTGATGACCAATTAACGAGGACATTGGTGTATAATGAAATCAAATCACTTCTTCCGAATATAACTGATGTAAACTTGCATCAAAGAACATTCAGAGCAAAAAAAATTTATACATTACTTATGGGAATAGGAATAGAAAAAATCTAAGCAATAACATGTAGTGCAAGTAGAATTTCGAGTTTAGCTGACAACCAGATTCAAGATATTATAAACTGTTTTTCTAAAAATTCTAATGTAGATGATTTTTCCGTTAAATATCAAGAAATGATCAGCGTTACAAATTGTAACGCGCAAGTGATCGAACCATCTAACTCAAATGATATATCAATTACTAAAGTGCATCATACTTCTAATTCAAAAAATATGATAAATGAGGAAGTTAAGACTAAAGTAAGTGCATCATCTAATCCATCTAATCGTGATTATTTTTGCAACAAAACATTAGAGCAATATCCTGACTTATATTATGAATATAGGAGCAAAAAAAATATTGATTATTATGGGGTTAATGTTGAATCGCCATGTCCAATATGTAAGTTAAATTATGAGGAAGAGAATGGTATAAATGGAGAATATAAAGATGGATTTTACTATATTAAATGTGAAGCATCTGAAATTGTCATAATTGTGTAAGCTCGATTCACCATCTTCCGATCATGTCACTTGAAGCCTGAAAATAGTTAGGTTATAAGACATTTTTTTATGATATCCAATGCGGAGAATTAAATTGGTTTGTAATCATATAAAATGGCAACATGAATACACAAACCAAGTCTGAAAAAATATTAACACCCGAATTTCTGAAATGGCAAGCTGAATTAATTGATGTTTTAATGGATAAAATTCGTTCCAAATTATATAAAAGATATAAAAATGAAACTGGCCTCGATCCTTGAATAGATTTCAAACTATACATGTTCCCAAAATTGATTTTGAATTTTTGAGATATTTCGACTTTTGAGATTTATGCAAAATCTATTCTATATATGGAAGTAAAAAAAGCACCTAGTTATATGTATCTTTAATTAATGAATAAATTTGGGTGAACAAAAAATTTTGGGTTTTAAGTAAAATAATTTTGTCTTCTATGAAAAACTATTTTGACATTTTTTCCCAAAATTGTAATTTCGGGGCTCCAAAATAATTTTGCGTGCAAGTATATTCCAAACCCTCTGAATTTTTTGAGGAAAAGACTTTATTTGTATTGCGAGTAAATGTTCAATCTACATCATCAAAATGACGATTTCCAATTTCTGTTCTACCTAAAGATTCAAAAGAAAAGTAACATGACATTATTAATATGATATTAGAGTGATTTCCTTATTTAACTCTGAAACATAGCTTTAGAAATGATTACTTTGAATTTAGTAGATCAGTACCCTACCCTTTATATAATAAAAACCATAAAAAAGAAAATATAAGAAATTATATAGAAGGTATTTGGGGTAGTGACGAATTTTGTGGTGAAAAAGCTTATCATCTTTATTGTTATATAAATAAATATCAGAATTCAATTCACATAGTAATATACGTGTTGCCCAAATCCCAAATTACTAGTATTTGGGATTTGGGATTTGGGATTTTGGCAAAAAATACTAATTATAATTTGGGATTTGGGATTTGAGATTTTGGCATTTGGAATTTTGGCATTTGGATTTTGAATTTGGGTGGCAAGTATACATAGTAAATATAAAAGCATAAGTTGACTTCAACAATATATATATAACAACCATAAATCATTTTCCCGCGATCATATGGGGTTGCTCCCTTGAGGTTCTATGTCACATGCATAACTTTAGCCATGCTAGCTTCACTAATATATGATTTATTGCATTGTCTACATTTTACAAACCTGATATAAAAATAAATGATACTTTATTAATTGTAATTTACATAGAACGTATTACATAATTTTTTATATAACAATACAATAACGATGTACTACATCATATATCACGTGATAGTCACGTTGACATGATAGTTCGTCATGCGATCGGCAAGAAATTTGTTATTTTATCTATAATAGTTTGCATCTGAGAGACGGTTAAACTACACTGGTCGAAAATTGATAAAACATACATATATCAGGTACTCGATATGTACATGGTGTTTCCCTAATATTGGGCATATATCGGGTACCCGATATGTGTAGAAAATATTTTTTTATACTTATCAGGTACCCGATATATATATAAAATATTTTCTACACATATTGGGTACCCGATATATGCCCGATATTAGGGAAATACCATGCACATATCAGGTACCCGATATGTATATGTTTTATCAATTTTTGACCAGTGCTAGCAATTGCATCGGTACTATAAGATTTTATTCGTTTGATTTTTTCCATCCCTATTTTCATAAACAGATTATAAATTACTTTAGCTCTTTGAGTTTTTTTATGTAGAGTATCTTTTGTGATACTGGATATATGATCCCTAATTTCGTCATATACCTTTGTCCTAGTCTGTTGGTCACCGATTCTTCTGTTATTATCTCTAATACCCGTAACCTTTTTTTCAAACTCTTCGGCGTAATAATACTAGCACCGAATTTCTTCTTGATAGGTCTGAATTACACAATTTTTGGCTTTAAGCACTTTTTGATATAATCGGACTAAAGAATTCTCGCTTTCTCCTTTTTTGATTTCAGCAATCTTGTCTTCGTAGGTGAAGATAGTTTCTAAATCAACTCCAGCAATTTATCCTGTTCATGAGCAATCTTGGGTAACGCTTGACGAGATGTTCAATTTTGCGTATCAGTAATGTCACCCACTGCCTGTAGATTGATCTAGTATAACGGTATCATTTGTATCTAATTGACCAGTCAAGTTAACTTTTTCGTTGCTAATAGCAGAGCTAGTGCCAAGGCACATAGGACTTGTAGCTTGCTCATGTGTCATAACGGAAATTAAAGCTCCGCATAGGTCTTAAGGCTCGCGAGCTTAGCGAACTGAGCCAATCCAAGCTGAGCTGAGCCTAATATTATAGGCTCATAGGCTCGCGAGTCAAGCTCAACTAAGGCCTGACTCACAAGGCTCGAGTCTTAAAGTAGGTTCACGAGCCTTAAAAATTTTGGGACTTTAAATAAAAGCCCACATAATTTTTTTTTAAAAAAAATTATCTGTTACTTATGAGCCTAATATAAGACTCACGAGCCTACTATAAGGCTCGCGAACTTACTATAAGGCTCGCAAGCCTACTATGAAGCTCAAGCCGAGCTGAGCCTATATAAGTAAGGCTCAGCTTGACTAAAGCCTAACTTATAAACTCAGGCTTGAGCTGAGCCTAAGACTTTTGGGCTCAGCTCGGCCTGAGCTTTATGAGGCTCGGCTCAGCTCGGCCTATGAGAAACTTTAACAGAAATGTTTGCAATCAGACTCATTCCACGGTCCTCCTTACTAACTTGTTTTGTTATTTCAACTGAAATGGAAGAAGAATCTTTTTCAGTGATTAATCCCAATTCTTACATAAATTCCACATCGTCATTATTATTGGCAATGGTTACGTTTGATTGCTAGGAGGCTTTTCCTTTATCATAACTTCTGGGTAAGATATCATATTCACCGGAAGCTAGGAGCAACTCTTCTTTAAGAATTTCAATATCTGCTTTACAAATAGGACATGAAGGAAATTTTGTTTTTCCCCGAATAATATGCATTTCAACACACAATCTATGGAGCAAGTGGCCACAACGCAATATTGTGAATACTTCGAATTGAAATCTGAACATAGCTTTACTGCAGAACTTGCACAGATGGAATTTTGGCATACGGTCGTCATCGGATATTTGTGAAATATTTTGACTTCGTAGGTAATTTAACGAAAGTGTCTCAAGGTCACTTTTATTCTTGGAGGTAGTTGGATTTCTGGATTCTCTCTCGTTTGCCATTTTTTTGAAAAAATCCCATTATCATTTCTGCTGGTATATTATATATCTGTTCATATGTTGCTCTAAATTATTAAACCAACTTGATATAGCATTACATCTGAAATTTTGTAAGGAAGAGATATGGTAGGTTTATTATTCATTCTTAGTAAAATTCATGATCAGCGAAAAAACAGCTCCAATGAGTAACTCTCTGAGTCATGAAAATTAGAAAAAATATCCAATGAGTGTATATGTGAAAAATTGCATTGCATAAAAAACTTGTGAATTCAGGATGATAACTTCAATCCACATAATGGAATGCATGTGACAATAAACATGACCTTTAGGTCACCCCTTTGGACTTTATTATTATGAAACAAAAAAATTTCCCGTAGTAAAGCGAATATAAAAATAAATTTGCGAATACATATCGTAGTTACATGGTATAAATACAAATAAAAAAAATCTATTTATCCTCCTGTACAAGAACATGAAAAATGTTGGGAAGATCTCCATTGAAATATTGAGAAATTGATGACTGCTCTTTCATGATTCGGTATTTTACTGACCTTAGATGATATACACGAAGAAAAATATCAACATCATTAAATAGAGATGGTAACTGATTTATATAATTCTGAAGCACGGCAACATCAGTACTCCTGAGAATTGTAATTTCAAAACTAGCACTACAAGGTGGAATGCCACTAAACGAATTAGTAAGAATGATAAAACAATTGAGAGTAATATTGGTCATTTTTTGCGTTTCCTAAATATAAACCCATAGTGAGTGAAAATTTCATTTTCAGAGGTATTTACCTTAAACAATCATACCTTTAGCGAAACAAGTACCAAAGGTATTAAAAATCCGTGAGAAGGTAAGAAATAAAGTCTCTCTACAACCTGCTTATTTATAATGTTTTCATTCACCTGATCTGAACTTACTAGAAAAATAATCCAAACTTTATCAAACAAATCTCCGAATTCTGGCAATAGTAAAATTGACTGTTACCGATATCATAGGTAAACCTGTTACAATTCAGCCTCATGAAAAGTGTTATTATATGCCAAGAACTTGACAAAACTGAAGCCTATATATATTTGGTGTTTTTAGAGGGAAATGAAATTCCTTTTGTTCGAGATCGCTTCTGCAAGACAGATGTCAGTTATCGTAATGATGATCTAACAGAGATGGCAGAGATTCTAAAGTCCTATAACTGACATTTTTTGATAACAGCGTTGATAAGTAATGACGGGTTCTTTATCCTTATTACCTTTTTAAGTTTCGTTTAGCATGTTCTTATCGAAAAGCATATGTGATATAGAAGTACTTTTCAGGCTAAAATAAAATGAAAAAAATACATATAACGATTATCTATGCTACATAAGAATATTTCACAAACTTCTATATATAAACTGGATCGCACGAAACTTGTGAGATCAATTCTATCAATTTTTCCAAAATAAAGTTAACCCCTCATGATCGACTCTGCATCCATATTAATGCTTTGATCACGGGTAATAGAAACGTTGACATAAAAAATCTAATTATCGTGATTTATTAATGTAGTTGAAACGGAATTATGTCAGGAGTGTCAGGTGATACATTTCCAAATATACATATAGTTCAGAATAATCGAACACTTCCACTACACTATCTTTATATATATTCTTGACTATAACAAAATTATTTTTTGGATCATATGTGTGCTCATATTTATGAGGATTATGTAACTTTATATATTGGGAGGGATTATTGGTAAACTTACCTATAGTTTTACGCTTACTATTTTGAGACTTAGCCATAGTACCTATATTTACTACTTTTTCAATTCAAATTTTGGATATGACAAGGTATGCAAAAATCGAATAATTAGGATTACATATTAACCTTTACTTATTTTTATATTATCAGGAAATATTAGGAGGCAAAAATCTCCGGAAATTTTTCAGAATGGTAAATTTCTGAAAATTTTCATAAAAATTTCCGGAAATCTTTCACAAGTTTTCAAATATTTTCAAAATAAAAAATTTCTGGAAAATTTTTATGCAAATTTTTCGGAATTTTTTTATTGCAGATATTTTCGAAAAATTTTTGTGGAATTTTTCGAAATATTTTATAAAGGCTATCAGGAAATTTTAGGAAACAAAAATCTCTGAAATTTTTTCAAGTTTTCAAATATTTTTTTATTACTGATATTTTCAAAAATTTATTATAGAATTTTTCAAAATATGTTGTAAAATTTGTAAATTTATTTTACATATAACTTATTTTTTTAACATATTATAGAATTTACATATAAATATATATTTTTATTCATCAGAAAATTTAATTAAACATAGATTTACAGAAATATCACATGACTTCTGGAAATTTACACTTGAAAATTTTAATTTTTTAACTTCAGCTGAGATTTAGGTGATAGGGAGTGATTTTCTACTAAGATATTTCTAAGATAGATCGAAAGCTCTGGTTTTTGGTTATAAGATAATATATATTTCATTACTATAGTATCAATATTCGCAAAAAAATTCACGTTTAAATTCAAATGTTCGTGAAAATTTATGCTATAATTTTCTCATAAATTTTCACGGACGTTTGAATTTAAACGTGAATTTCTCCACGAATATCGATGCTATAGTAATGAAACATATATCATCTTGTAGCCAAAAACCAGGGCTTTCGATCTATCTTAGAAAT